GGCTACCGTGTGCAGCCAGCAGCCGCAGTGAGCGGCTGTCCAGAAGCCGGCGACTGATCTGCCTCGCCCGGGAAGAGTGCAATGATGGTGCCAGCTTGGGCCAGTGAAGCAACGTCCTCCACAACTAGACTGAAGAACAAAAGGACAGCAACTTGTCTGTTCCCCTTCCCCCAATTCCCCAATAAAAATCTTTAAAAAAAAAAAAATACTTCATGCATTTACAAATTCTCATTTATGTGTAATTCTTATCTTGCACCAACTGCATAGTATAAAATCAAAACTCGTCAGCTCACGTGAATATCTTTAATTTTCAATTGACATAACATCTTAATACCTTTTTAACTACACATAATATACAATAATATATATTTATAGAAGTTAGAAAATTTGGGTAAGAAAAAGAAACTAATCACCCATAAACCTACACTCAGAAACCACTGAACAATGTGACACATAACCTTCCAGATGTAAATATATTTGTTTTTTTTAACCAAAATGGAATTGTTTTTAAATATTTTTACATTTCCACATACCAAGACATCTTTTCATGTCTACATACTTCTAACATCATTTTAATGGATGGGCAGTACCTCACTGTAGAGATACATCCTAACAATCACTGTGAAATATTTAAGTTGTTTATAGTTTTACAGCATAATGATCAAGAGTTGCTGGCTCTGGAGTCAAACTGCTTGGATCCAAGTCCTGGCTCTGCCACTAACTCTGCTACCTTGGGCAAGCTACCTCATTTCTCTATTGCTCAGTGTTCTCTTCCGAAAAATGGGGATGATGTCACCTATTTCAAAAAGATGAACGTGGAGGGGTCACACGTGTTAATACACAGCTTTTATTATAAACAATGTTGCAATTGCTATGCTCACAGCTACTAATTTAATAATATCTTTATTACATCAAGATAAATTCCCTTAAATGGAAATTTCCACATCAAACGGCTTTTGAGTCGGCCAAATTACAGCTGGGTTTAAAGACCTCATCAAGTAGCTCTCACTTAATACTCATTTCTCTTTATGCAAGAAAATAAAAACCATGATTCTGTTAAGCCAACCAGCTAGTTTCTTTCACTCAATTAGCTTATGCTTTCCTGGCTTTTGTACCTGCAAACCTAACCATATTTCATAAAATCTCAAAGTCTGTAGGAAATTTAAGGACACCACCAGACCCAAATCCTCACTCAGCACATCAATTCCTCTACCCTAACTTTAACACTGTCTGTGAGAACGGACAGCCTGCCACCTAAAACCCATTGTAGTTTTCCTGGAAGAATGTTGAAATCTGCCTCCTTCTAACTTCTACCCGTTGATCCTAGTTCTTTCTGGTCAGATCAAACCTGATCTTTTTGTGGCAGGCATCCAAATAGTTAAAGATGACTATCATTTCTTATATGAGCTTCTCTTTTGGGAGCCAAACATCACATTTTTTCAGCCTTTCCTCCTTTCCATTTCCCCATGATCAAGGTCCTCTTGATATGTATATCGTTCAGTGGTTTTTAAACTTGAGTGTCTACCACCTGAAGAACTTGAGAAAAAGTGGCCCAGGTCCTATTCAACTCAAGCTTGGGCCTGTGTGGGGTTTTTTTTTAATTAGCTCTCCAGGTGATTCTGATATAAAGTCTGAGAACTAATACAAGGTCCCATTTATAATATGCTACCTAAAAAGCTGACACAATGCCCCAGGTATAATACAAGCAGTATAAAGTAAAGGGGCCAAAACCACACTCTTTCTATACAAGTATGCTGTTCTACCAACTTCAGAATGGCATTTACTTTTTTAAAAAAGTATACTCCAGTGTTGATTCATATTAAATGTACGATAGTTAAAATAATCAAGTCTTTTCCACATTCACTATTTGTGCATTAGCATCTTGGGCCCTCACTGCCAGCTTTACAATTATTCCCATTAAAAGGTTAACAGTAGTAGGGCTAAGAGTTACAGATTTCTATTTCTAAATGTATCCATGGCTTTGTATATGGAATTACTTTCAGTGGAGAAATCACATCATGCTTAAGCCTCTACACTTATGTCATGGACATACTTAGTCCAAATAAAGATGTGTTAGCCCACCAAAGCATCTTCTCTGTACAGAGTACTGTTGTCAAAACTGTAAGGCAACACAGGCTCTAGTACTAACAGATTCCATAAATTTATCTTCTAGAGAGCATGATGATACAAACACCTTCAGAAAATTTAAGTACAATATAATACTAATTATAGCTGTAGACACATTAGTGCTATAGAAACATATGATTACTACTTGGAAAGCTGTGGGGCCTTAGAATACTAAGTTGCCCTGAACTCGAAGGTTTCGTTTCGGCTTGTTTTTTAATGTTTGCATAGGGAGGGAGAAGTGATGGAACCCATCAGGGAGTTCACCCACGCTTAGGCTATTTGCAAAGGGACACTGCACCCTCAAAAATGCACCCTCAAAATGAACTCATGATTCAAAATTTCATACGACTTGTGAATTCCTTATGACCTCCTTGCTTTCTTTACCTGTTGCTATTTCTAACTCATGAGGTATTCAAGGGCCAAAAAAATGTCCATTCTATGAGATAAGGTCCATTATAAATACTTCTTAGAGCTGAGGGGGCGGGGGCAAACCAAGATCCAATCTGAAATTTATTTTCATTTGAATAGCAAACATCAAAAATATACCTGATATTTTCTAACAATTACATATAAGAATGACCAGATGCTTCCTGTTGATGAACAGTAGAGAACTACAGACTGACAGAATCAGGCTAGAGTTCAGAAACAACTGGAAATAAATTTAGCTTCATTTCAACACCATTAAATCAAAATATGTATAACCTTAAATTTTCTCACATTTACACTATAAATGTCCCCAATCTTGAAAACCCGGATTCATAGATAGAGAACTGAACTCTAAGTAACAGCGCTAACTCTAAGGGTAAATACATGCATTACAAAAGTATTGTTTCACCAAAGGTTTCACTGCAGGATGCTTTTAAATCTGGAGCTCTTATAGTGCTTTGGAAAGTGAGTGCCCTATCTTCAAAAATTACATTTATACACACGTTTTCACAAGCACATCTAATTCGGAATTCACGTTTTACTTGCGTAGATTATTAAAAATAAGTTGTGGAATTAAAGACTACATTGAATCACTTAAAATATTTTCAAATGTTCCTGAGTATCTAGGATCATATGTGGATTATGCAAACTTTATTCGTAATGTTGTTTATGCATCTAAATCCCAAATCGAAAAAAGTTAGAGCCTAAGAAAAATAGAAATCAACCTACTTATCTACATTTCTAAAATGTCTGGTATAATATCCTGATTTGACTTGTATGTTGAGAACAGGATAGAAATAACGTATTTCTCAGTTTAAAAAAAAAAGGCATGAGTATACAGCGGAGTTTTCCAGGCGTTACATGGTAATACCACAATAGATTGAATGCAGAAGTAGCTTTAAGAATCTAGCTGTCTTCTATTCAACCAGACTTTTTTTAAAAAGGACTTGTAGAAATTCAAAACGATGTCACTCTTGCCTAATAGGTCACTTATGTTAACATGCAATGAATTTACTTTTTGTTATTTTTGGAAAAATACTTGTGGAAAATAAAAATAAAGCCTGTTTAGTTTCCTTAAATTCGAAGTCTGAGCCTGAAAGTGGAAGTGTCAAGGCTGTTGGATACGTCAGTGAGAAATTTAAACCAAACTGGGTGGGTCTACAAAGATTAACTATTTGCAAAAATAGTTTTTGACCACTAACTTCTACATAATAAATTACAGTGCATCTTTAATTCTCGGATGGCAACTTACAAGGATCCTTTGCTGACTACATCAAACCATTTTCCAGATAAAATCGTACTTCGGGAGTAACTTGCCTGAATCGAGACAGCAAATCAGTGTCCGGAGAGCACTTAAAATATTTCCGCATTACCAAGCCCCCTTCAGAAGCACTGTGGTCTCTGCCCCTCCTTTGAACAGATGTCTGCTCGCCACAGTCCAATCAGGTTTAAACCAAGAGTATGTGTACTGCAAACAAGCTTAAAGTGGGAAAACACACACAAAGCGGGCCTATCTTTCCTTTGGTTTCAGTTTTCACGATGCACCCTGGAGGGTAGGCACGCGGACTCAACACGACGGGAGAGCTTCAACGAAACACACTCAAGACACACTCGTTAACTGTGCCCAGGCAGAAGTGACCGGGCAACATTCTCAACTTCTTTCCCAAAGCCATGCACCCGCAGATCCCGGCGGTCAAGTCCCCAAAGCAGAAGTCCCCAGCATCCAGAATGGCAGGCTTCGTCCCCTCAGACTCAAGTCCCCGCGGCCGAGGCAGTCGCCGTGGCAGCCCCGCGCGGGACCGGACGAGCTCTCCCGTTAACCCTGTCCCGACCGGCCGCTTCCGCCACCGCCCGAACGCTTCCCGGCCCTGGGGGCTCCGCAGCACAGCGCGCCCGGGGCCGGCTGTCCTCGCCGCCCCTTCCCCGCTTCAGCGAGGCTGGCGGGGCCGTCAGGCGTCCCAGACAAAGAGATCCGCGACTCCCGGGGCAGTGGGCTCCGAGGCCGGGCCGTGCCTGCCTCCTTCCCTCACCCGTCCACCGCTCGCCTCCCCCCACCCGCAAAGCCCCTGCCGCCCGGGCCCGACCCCTTCCTCGCCCCGAGGCCGCCGCTCCGGACCGGCCATGCAAGGAGCGGCGGGGAGGCCGCGGAGCGCCCGGGCCGAGGAGGGGGCGGCGGCCGCCACCATGTCTGCCCGCCCCTCCCTGAAGCTGGGTGCCAGCGGACAATGCGCGGCGGCGGCGCGGGCGGAGCGGGCGCCCAGGCCGACCCCGCCGACCCCCGCGGAATAAGCGGGGCTAGGAGCCCCGGAAACCCGGCGCCTTAATGCAATAAACAGGAAATCGCGGGGATGATCTGGGTTCCGGGGGAAGTGGAATTATTTTTTACCAGCGAAGAGATCAACTTCCACATCCGGTGGTAACAGGGCCCTACACAGACCCGCACTGACCTGGAAAAGCTTCGGGAGCGGCGACGGGGGAGCAGCAGGAGGTGGTGCGGGGACCCGAGGAGCTTCGTACCCGACCGGGCTGACGCGGCCCCGCTACACACAAAGCGCTTCAGTTGCACAGGGCGCTATTTTCCGAAAATGCCGCGTCTGGTCGGCGCCCAAAATCCCCACCGAAAAGTCCCCCGTGCTGCGCGCGGAAGGACACATGGTGTGCGAGTGAGTCAAAGCTCCCAGCATCCCTCCCGAACCCGGCCCTCCGCAGTCCCGCAGCTGAGCTTTTCCGCCCTGACTCTCGTCAGCGCCTCCTTCGCCCACCCAGTCCCCGACCCCATTTCGGAGGGAAGAAGGGGGCAATAGAGTCTGAATTTTCTTTTTAACGGAGCGGAGGGAAATAGGCCATTTCTAGAGCTCAGCCACACAAAGAAAGCGGCGGAATGATCCGTTCTCGGCAACCGCAAGTCCCGGCTCGCCCGGCGCCTGCGCGGCACGGAGTGGGAGCTGCGGCCGGCCATGTGCGCCGCGCTCCAAGGCCGGCCGGCTGCCGAGCTTTCCCGCGTCTTCTTAAGGGAGTTAGGAGTTGGGAAACTAAAGTGTGTGGGCTCACCTTCGTATCTCTCCGGCATTACTGCTGAGACATAGGGAATGCGGACTCCTTCAAGATTAAGCTGAGCTGCCTAGCAGAGTCCTGGGAGATGTAAGGGCAGCCAGAATTAAACTTAAAAGGGACCCTAGATTCAACTAGGCAGACTAGTTGGAACAGGAGTCGCTGTTGAGGTACAAGGGAGGAACGAAAGACGGTCAGGTTTATAAAGAGGACGTACATATTTCTGTAGCGCTTTTTTTTTTTTAACATGATGTGTCATGCTAAGCAGACGCTAATAGCTGCTCACTGAATTCTCTTGTATTGCTGTCACCTCAGAGGTAGAGAGATGTGCTTTTTCATGGCTAGAATGTCAAGATTTTTGTTGTTACGTTTTAGAAAGTTGCAAAAGTTTACTTGGAGATGGTGATTTGCAGTGGAAAGCCTTATGAATTTAATTTAATGGGCTGATTTGCTAAGAAACCTACCACACTGGTATGTTTTTAATAGAGGAGCCTGGGAATGACTCCCACCTGGCTTTTCCAGCCTGCTAACTGCAACCTTTGGCATCCTATATCTAGGAACTGAGAATATCTGAGACAAATCCAGGAGAGCTGACAAGTTTAATGAAATCCATATTGCCCACTGATTTTTGTGGCCTCAGATAAGTAATCTTTCTGCTTACCCTTTTGTAATACTGATGTAATAAAGATTTGTAAAGTTTTAGCATTGTGCCTAAAATAGAAGCAAAGTAAATGGCATAGGAACCATATTCTGTTTTCTTTGATCTAATATTTTTATTGCCTCAGTTGATAAAAATCTGTCAAATTTTTGATGTCATGCTTTAACGTTGAGTTTATTTGAATTTATTCAGCTAATGATTTTTCTAGAATCTCTGCCCTCATTGATCTAATGCTGAAGATTGCAGACAAGTAAATAGGCATCCTCAGTAGTACAATGAGGGTAAACTGCTGAATACTATGAAACCTTATACAGCAGGAATCTCTTACCTTGGAGGGGAGGAATGGAATGGAACTGGAGAAGCAATTAGCTTTAATAAGGGGATTGGGGAGGGCCTACCAGACAGAGGAAGCAGTAAATGCGAAGATTAAGAGGCAAGCTCTGGAGAGATTGTTGAGGGATGAAGATAATGCTGTTGCAGGAGTGCCTGAGATGTCCCTGAAGAGGTCTAGTCATGAAGGCCTGGAATGCCATGTGCAGGAATTCGTTTTTGACAGAGGAAGTGGTTGAAACTTTTTAAATAAAAGCATCATGATAAGATTGGATTTAGACGACAATTATGCAAAAGTTGGAGGCATGGAAAACAGTTTGGAAAAAAACAATAATCTGTGAGAGACTGATGACTTGGACTGAGATGGTGGCAAATAGGAGTGAAGAATACAACCAGTGGCCATTGAGAGCTTGGTGATTTGGTTGACTGGATAAGGGCAAGACAGAGATATCAAAGAACACTCGACTCCCAAGTTTGTTTGGGAAGCAGCTGGGAGGATGGTAACATCTTCATTGAGATTAGAAACCAGGGAAGAGGAATACATGTTAGGAAAGGAAGAAGGTTTTATTTTGACCATGTAGAGAGTTTGAAGTGATTGTGAACCAACCAAGCAGATATGTCCAGTAGGTAATTAGATATTCATTTACGTTGTTTCAAGAGCACCCATCTATAACTGGCACTGTTTTACACTGGAATAGATTAAGCAGCAACAAGACCAACAAAGGATCCTGCTCCTCTCTCCAGTGGAGGGAACAGACTATAATGAACAAGTTTTACAAAAAGAGAGGAAAGGTAATATCCCATAATATGTTCCATGAAGAAAATAAAAAAGGGTATTTGGATAAAGGGGGAGAGAGCAGGCAAAATTTTGGTTGTTGGTCAGAGATAGCCTCACTTAGAAGGTATTCTCGACTAAGACCTGAATGGGTATACGTTAAGGGCAGTATTTGAGACCAAAGGGAATAGCAGAGCAAAATCCTAAAGCAAGAAAGAGTTTGTTGTATTTAGCAAGGAGACTAGTGTGGCTGAACTCTAGAGAGCAAAGAAAGGAATGGTAGAAGACAAAGTCTGCATCCTTGGTAAGTGGAAGTGTTCTGGAAGCCATTGAAGAGTTTTAAGGAATAGAGTAACCTGGAGAGTAGCCGGAGAGATAAAGTGGATGGGTTCAAGATAACATTTTGTTGTTAATGAATCAAGCATGAGGAATCCAGCGATTCCAAGGTTTGGGGCAAGGTTGTCTAGGCCAACACTGTCCAATATAAATATAACATAAGCCACCACACATGAAATTTTATAATAGCCACATTCAAATAAAAAGGAGCAATTGAAATTAATTTTAATAATGTCTTGTATTTAACAAATATATCCAAAGTAATATTTCATACATGATCAGTATTTGTAAAAAGTACTAAATATTTTAAAATGTTTTACATTCTTATTACTGTTTGGAATTGTGCGTATTTTACACTGACAGCATATTTCAATAGTTGATTTCATAAGATTTACAGTTTTGAAAAATAGATTCACATACCCAAGTCATTCCTAACATGCTAAAAAGTTTTGCAGTAATTATATACCAGTTTTAAAATATAATTTTAAATTAAAATTAAGATTAGAATTTCTAAATTAGCTGTACTTCAGGTGCTCAATAGCTACATGTGTGACTAGTTGCTGCTGTATTGGACAGTGGATTCTAGTGGAATAGAGAGTGGTGTAAAATCAGGCTTTAAAAGTTGTGTAGAACCAGCCTAGAAGGCCTTGGATGCCATGTTAAAGGATTGGGATTTTACCATAAAGACAAGAGGAAGAGTGAAGGGTTTTTGAGCTAGGGAGTGACAATGTGTTTGAGGCTATAAAAAGGCCACTAAGTAGCCAACTGGTGACTCAAGACTAACAGCAATCCTTCAGTTGAGTCCCCACATTTTAGGCCCTGACCTCAGCCCCTCAGATTTCTGTTGGTTTTCTAGAGCAGTACCACCAAAGGTATGGTTCACAGGCCAGTGCCATCTGCAAAAGTTATTGGTCCATAGCAAGGCATTTACAGAAATTGAAAGTAAGAATTTAGAAACTTTTATAGCAATTTAATGCTAATTTTGTCTGTGGCTATAATAAAAATTTTGGTCTTGTATATGTCTTTGTTTTCTTTATTATTTCCCTTTTCTAGTTATTTTTATATTTTAAAAAATTGTCTGTGACCTTTCAGTACAGTTAATTTTTTGTTGTTGTTAGTTTCAGGTGTACAAAACAGTGCAATAGTTATACTTCTCACCCCTCACAAAGTGACAACCCCCCTCCCCCAGTCTGCCGTCTCCCCCCCATATCATACATATTTATTACAATTCCATTGACTCCACTCCCCACACTACACATCCTGTGACTATATATGTATATATATACACATAAATATTAAATTATAGTTGGCATACAGTATTCAACGTCAGCTTCAGGTGTATAGTACAGTGGTCAGGCATCTACACTGTCCATGAAGTGGTCTCCCTAACAAGACATGACTATCTGACACCCTGTATAGATAATTTTTGAGGCACTGCTATAGAGGTACTCAAGACGAAGGTAGTCAGAAGGACCAGGTTTCCAGAATGCTAATCTAAATCCAATTGCCATTTTTTACTTTATGTTGAGAACTAGAACAGCTAAGAGAGGAATGGACATCTGCTTAGCTTCTCTTTCCATATAGAAAAGGAAGTAACCAAATTTATAATAGCTACCATTTAATGAATGCTTCCTGTGTGCTAGCCACTGTGCAAAACATATTGTCTCATTTAATCCTCACAACAATGCTATAAAATAGATATTATTAGCCCCATTTTTCCAAAAAGGAAACAGGCTGAAATAGGTAAATGACTTGCCTAAAGTCACCAAGCTAGTGAATGTTAGAGACAGGATTCCAATATAGGTATTCCAAAGCTATTGTTCCTATTCACTTTTTTTCTTTTTTGCCATTACATCCCCAGTATCTAGCGAACTTCCTGGCACAATGATTCTACACTGTTGTAGCGAAAACACACGAAGTTGACTGCAAGCCTACCTCATTTTATTGCACTTGACAAATGTTGCATATTTTGCAAATTAAAGGCGAGAACCTCCACCAGCAAAAAGATAACAACTGGCTTTTTTGCGATTCTCGCTTTATTGCAGTGGTATGGAACCAAACCCACAGTATCTCCAAGATATAACTACATTTCTCCCACAGGATTCATTGATGAATTTGGGACCAAAGTAAGGGGAGTTAGTGGTATTCTAACAGCATCAGGCAAATATATTAATTTCTACAATAGAACTATGCCTGCTTTGCCCCTATCTAGAATTTATAGACTCACGAAAATAAAAACCCAATGTAAAATGGGTAAAAGACTTCACAAAAGAGTGTATCTAAATGGCCAATAAACATGTAAAGATGCTCAACTTTTTGAATCATTAGAAAAATACAAATTAAAGCCACAATGAGATACTGCCTACACACAAAAATATGGCTCAAGTGGAAAACAAAACGCCAAGTGTTGGCCAAAAGCTGGAACAATTGAAATTACATTGCTTGTGGGAACATGTACTGGTATAGCCACTTTGAAAAATTCAAAAAACAAAACCAAACTACATTTAGGAATATATGTTTAGGTAGTAAAAATGAAAAAGAAATGGTTAGCTTGGGGCAGAGCGGGGATAATGCTTGGGGCTTCTGGGGTGCAGCAATGTTCTGTTTCTTGACCTGAGTGGGAGCTACATGGGTGCTTGTGATTCACTGAGCTGTAGGTTTGGGTTGTGGGTGTACTTTTCAGTGTGTGTATTATATATTCCAAGGTTTAAAAAAATTTGCTGGAGTTAACAAGTTAGAAAAAAATTTCCAGGGCAATGCTGGATACCTGCTACCACCTGTCACCTCGCTCACTGAGCCAGTCTTTCTATATATATGCATTACAAATGTGAAAGATAAGGTACACCTGAATTCTGGGGGTGGCTGTAGTGGAGAGGAGAGACATGCAAAAACTGCCGAACTTGAGGCTGAATGGGCAGGTGAAAAAGCATGGCAGTTGGAGTGAGGAGCCTCAAATTCAAGGCTTAATTGGTGTTTAGTCTAGGTTCTAACCACTCTCTAGGTATATGACCTGGGCATATCTCCTAGTTAGCCTTAATTTCGTTTCTTTCACCTGTGGTGGGGTATTTAATAAAACTGACAGTTTTTTTCATTTATAACCCTTTGTAAGCTATTAAAATGGCATATAAAATTTTATTCATGTCTGATTCAATGTGATAGGAAAGGGAGAAGGAGTTAAGGATGGTTGAGATTTTGAGACTAGGCAATGGAGGTTTATTCATGAATAAAATGAGAAAACAGAGAAAGAGAAACACATTTCAAGAAAGATGAGATTTTATTTTCTACATGTTGAGTTTAAGATCATTCCAGAACATGAAGGAGGAATTATTAGATACAAAACGTAAGGTTTGGTACTCGGGAAAAAAAAGTCAAAGTCGGTGATAGAAAGAAGTTATCCGCAATAAGGGCAATAATTAAAGCCATGATGGTGAATAGATCATTGGGAGAGAATATAGAAAAATAGAGTACTGAAGAGAGAAAAATAAAGGAATAAGGGAAGGAAATCTGCATTCATTGAACACCTATTCAATTGTGTGCCAGCTGCTCTGCTTTTGTGATCTCTTTTCTTCCCCTCAAATTCCAAGGCAGCTAATTTTTAGCCTCATTTGGCTGTACTTGACTGATGGTAGACTCACAGCAATACAAAGAGCCAGCATTTAAAACCAGCTTGACTTTATACAGTGCACCACACCATTCCTAGAGAACCAGGTATCTCTTGCAGAAGCCCATGGGGAGAATTTGAGTCAAGGAAAGATAAGCCCTGAGAAAAAAACATTGGATTTTTGTGATTTTGGAGCAAGGGGTTCCTGGAATATGTGTAGCAGAGCCAGCACTCCTATTTGTTGTGCTTCTATGAGTGTGGGAAACCCAGACAAACATTTGTGTTCTAGACCTCTGGCAATAAGAAGGAAGTCAAGATGGCATCTGTAAAAGTAGTATAAAGAAAACAAAGTTGCTAAAGCCTAGCTAGATGCTCTTGCCAGCCATATGATTTGAACCTTGAAGACTTGAAGAAAGGAATAACTCACTGTATGATTTTATGTTTGCTGCTTTGTTCATGCACTGCCTAGAACCTTCCTGAGTATCACCAGTGGTATGGGTCCTTTACATTAGGAAACATTGGACTGACGTATAATAGTGTTCATTGTTTATACTGCAGTTTCAGTCACCTGAAATTCTGAGTGAAAAGATCAAGATGGCTTTGCCAGCCAAAGTCATTAAAACTTGGAATGAAAGATAATCTCTGCTGCTGATGAATAATACATGCCTTTTGGAAAACAGGCATATCATCTCAAAATTTAGAATAATCCCCTGTAACTGATAAGGAAATTTTTTCTCTACTATGTTTATTAAAACTGTTTATTTACTATTAGAATAGCATTTTAACATTAAAGAAAAGTAAAAAAAAAAAATGCTCCATCACAATACAATTACTGGTTTCTTCCTGCATGTTTTTAGATTTACAGATGAGTAATGTGTGCATTTTTGGCAGATGTACCACTGAAGAATTTTAAATTGATTGCAGGAGCATGATGTCGTCTTTGTCTACCCCCTCTGAGTTCTAGAAAAGACCTCCAGTAAGCAAGTGAAATTCTTTGGCAAAGTTACTGATTTCAGAATTCCCCAGGGGCACTGAAAACTGGTTTCCAAGAACTGGTTAGGCACAGCCGCTTTACTCAACCTGTATTTTACACCACACTGTTAAGGTTGCATTTGGACAACCTTATTTTTCTTAGACTGTTTTAAGACACTGAGCATTTAATAATTGTTGGTTGGTTATGGCTCCCAGCCAGATTTTTAAAAAATTATTTGAATGGATAATCTATCCATTGGTACAAAAAACTTTTTAAGCATCATCAACTGTCTTCCATCCACACAGTTGCCACTCACAATGTAAACGCTACTTTTATTTTCTTGTGTATTCTTTCAGAGTTTTTTTTTCATGCATGTACATGTAAGTAAGAATAATTATTCTTATTTTTCTCCATTTTTATATAACAGGAAGGATGCCATATATTCTCTTCTGTACTTTGCACTTAAGACATCTTGGGCTTTCCCACATAAATGCATAAAAGGTATTTTTTCTTACCTCTGCAGATTATTTGACCAGTCATTATCCAATTGAGGGACGGTGAGTTTCTAATCTTGTATTCTAATTACTGCTGTATATACATCTTCTTTTAAATATGTCTTATTTCAATTCCCAGAGTGGAATGGCTCTGCAAAAGGGCATAATGTATTTTTAATTTTGATAGGTACTGCCATATTGCCCTCCATGTACCAAATGTTTCTCCATTGCATTGTTCATAGAATTACCAAATTTTTGGATTTTTCCCTGCCAACTTTTGAAGGGCAGATTATTTCAAGCCTTACCTAATAATTTTAGGTCCAATAACAAATCATTTGGTTAAACTGGGAGAAATGGGGTTCAGTTTACAGAATTTGTTCAGGATACAGAAATTCTTTGCTGCAGCTCCTGTGGCTGCACACCCACAACTAGTAAAAACATGGTTGCTTACGTGTATGCTGTGGAAGCAGCCAGCAAACCTGGAAAGGGGCCAAGGATGACTACAAACAGCTCCACCTACACTTTTTTTTTGGCAAATTTGCAAGCTTAGCAAAATCGAAAAAGATCCTTCAGCCTTTGTTTGAATTGCAAAGAATCAACCTGGTAAGGGGGAAGAAATTATTCATTTCATGAAAAATTCCCTTAACATGATAGGAGCCAAAAATTATTTTTATCTAATTTTGCTTTGGCATTCAGGTGGCACAGGGAGAGAGGAAGTAGGGATATTAGGTGATGAGTTCCACCTGCACTGGGGTTATATGAATGTGTGAAGAAAGATTTCCAGGAATGATGATCTCAGATTACTTGGAGCCAAAGTAATTTAGGACAGGTGAAGAATTAAATGTGGCCTGCTCACTTACTGGCTTTTCAAACTTTTTAATCATCTTGTAAATTTATAGGTTTGTTATGAACTGAATGT